TGATACGGGCCATGCAAATGGTACGGGCCATGCGGACGTAGACCATGAAGGGGATCCTAGGGTTAGACGACCACGACGGAATGTTGGGCGCCCTCGCCGTTTCGAAGATTACGTTTAATATTTTATTATTCTTTTTATTTCATTAATGTAATAGATTTTTCTAGGTGAGCGAATTATAAGCTCCTTCGAGGGTTTCTTTTCGGTTCTTTACCTCGTCGCTTTTCTTGAACCGACAGGATAGATAATTAGTAATTTAGGTTTGGGGAATTCTTCTATATAAGGGATTACACCCTTACGCATGGATTTATGAATAATACACACATCTTCCCCTATATTCTCTCTTTCTCTCTAAAACCCTAATAACTCTCCTTCTCCCTTACCACCTCTGTCGGCTGGAAACTTGGCCGCCACCCTCCTTGCCGCCGCTCTTGGATACCTCGAGTATCAACTGGTGCTTTCATTGTTGATCTCACAAACGCTCCGATGTCGTCGTCCGAGCCCACCCCTACGTCCTTGACCTTGGAGGATATTATGCACGCCATCAACAACCTGGGACAAGATCTGAACGCCACCAAACTCCGGGTTGCGGAATTGGCAACCGCCCGGACGCCACACGTGGATGACAATCGCCGGCCTGGGGGTCCTTATCATCCGGGATTGCGGCCGCCACCGTCACGCACCACACCACTGACCTTGGATCCTGCCCCTCGCATGCGAGTTGATGCACCACGGTTTTCCGGGGATGACCCTACGGGTTGGATATTTCGTGTCCAAAAATACTTCGATTATTTCTTGACGGCCGAACCTGAACGTATGCAACTCGTGGCCATGTTGATTGACCACCCGGCATCTGAATGGTTCCATTATTATCACGCGAACAGCCCTTCGGTGACTTGGCCCGAGTTTCTTGACACCGTGCAGCAACGGTTTGATCCCAATTACTATGAGAACTATGTAGGGTTGTTGTCCAAACTCACGCAGTCATCTTCGGTTCTGGAGTATCAGTTCGCCTTTGAATCTCTTCTCAACAAGGTTTCAGGAGTTCCCGAATCCACACTGGTCGCCATGTATATTGCGGGACTTAAACAACCGGTGCAAAGGGAGGTTAATCTTCGGAACCCTAGCACCCTTCCGGCTACATTCGCGTTGGCACGTGAATTATCGGCTTGTCATCAAGAGGCTGCGGTCACTTACTCATCCGGGTCCCGGCGTCCTTGGTCACAGCGACCACCCTCCCCTGCCACTGCCGGACTGTTGCCTACCCCAACTGCTACCCCGAAGCTCCCCTCACCGGCCCCACGGCCCTCTGCTTCCCCATCAAATTTGCCTATTGTCCGCTTGACAAATGCTGAAAAAGCGGAACGTAACAAGAAGGGCTTATGTTGGTATTGCGACGAGAAGTGGATACCAGGCCACCATTGTAAGCATCGGTTCTTGGTATTTATGGGGCCCGACGAAGATGAAAATCCCCCGGATGTGGAGGATCTGGTGGACAGAGACCAAGAGCTTGATGTTATTTCGGGGGACGTCTCTAGTCTCCACTCACTGGCGGGTAGTCCCAGTCCACGTTCGCTCAAGTTAGCCGGGTCAGTTAAAGAGATGGCGGTACAGGTGCTTTTGGATGGAGGGAGCACACACAACTTTATTCATCCCGCAGTGGCTGAGCGCCTCGCTTTAACACTTCACCCCGTAACGCCGTTTCGGGTATATGTCGGCAATGGGGACTCACTAAGATGTGCCTATTCCTGCCCCCAAACGCCGTTATGCTTGCAAGGTCATCGATTCGACGTGGATTTGTACATTCTTGAAATACACGGCCCCGACATCGTCTTGGGCGTACAATGGCTGCAGACCCTCGGCAAGGTGTCACATGATTATTCACAGTTAACCATGGAGTTTACCTGGAAGGGCAGCCCGGTACTCCTGCGCGGGGATGCTCCTCACCCTCGTCCCGTCTCCTTTGCCGGACGACGTTCCCGAGCCTATTCGAGCCGTGTTGCTGGCCCATTCAGGTGTCTTCGGGTTGCCAGAAGGGTTGCCGCCCTCCCGACCTTGGGATCACAGAATTCACTTAGACACCAATGCCAAGCCCGTCAATGTTCGTCCCTACCGCTACCCATACTTCCAGAAGACAGAAATTGAGCGCCAAGTCAGGGAGATGTTGGACCAGGGGCTGATTCGACATAGCCACAGCCCCTATTCCTCTCCGGTTCTCTTGGTTCGTAAGAAGGACGGAACATATCGTTTTTGCATCGACTACAGAGCATTGAATGCTGCTACGGTACCGGATCATTACCCGATACCCACCACGGACGAACTATTCGATGAATTGGGCCATGCTCGAGTGTTCTCCAAACTTGACTTGCGCGCTGGCTACCACCAAATCCGTATGTCTGACGGTGACATTTTCAAAACGGCATTCCGCACTCATGACGGACACTACGAGTTTTTGGTCATGCCGTTCGGCCTCACCAATGCCCCTTCCACATTTCAATCGGCGATGAACAACCTTTTTCGAGAATATCTACGGAAATTTGTCATCATGTTTTTTGACGATATTTTGGTGTATAGTGCGTCCGTGGACGACCATGCCGCTCATCTTCGAACTGTGTTGGGTACTCTTCAGTCTAGCTCTTTTTATGTCAAACTCGGTAAATGTTCATTTGGCAAAGCATCCATTGATTATCTCGGCCATATCCTAGCCGCCGGCGAATTACACCCGGACCCAAGCAAGATTGATGCCATGGTTCACTGGCCCAAACCGGCCACCCTTAAACAGTTGCGGGGGTTCCTTGGCCTCACGGGGTATTATCGTCGTTTCATCGCCGGATATGCGATGTTAGCCTCTCCTATGACAGAACTACTCAAGAAGGACAGCTTTAAGTGGACTCCGTTGACAAAGGAGAGTTTCACTAACCTCAAACATGCCATGACGACCGCGCCGGTGTTGCGCCTACCTGATTTTACCCAGACTTTTATTGGCCGTCGATGCGGCGGGATGTGTGGCATTTCGTAGCTTCATGTGCTGTGTGTCAAGCCACGAAATACTCCACCCAACGCCCCGCCGGGCTCCTTCAACCGCTACCAATACTAGACCAAGTGTGGGAATCGGCTTCAATGGATTTTATCACGGGTTTACCGCCGTCCCAGGGGTTCACTGTCATCATGGTTGTGGTCGACAGATTGAGCAAATACTCTCATTTTGGTGCCTTAGCCACTGGTTTTGATGCCCCACGGGTTGCCCGCCTCTTCACCGATGTCGTGGTCAAGCATCATGGTTTTCCTTGCTCTATTATTTCGGACAGGGACTCGGTTTTCATGAGCTTATTTTGGAAGGAATTGATGCGGTTAAGCGGCTCTTCTCTCAAGTTTTCAACAGCCTACCACCCCCAGTCCGATGGTCAAACGGAAGTCCTTAACCGTAGCCTCGAACATTACCTCAGGGCTTTCACATATGAGCGGCCGACCAAGTGGGCGAGTTTTCTACCATGGGCAGAGCTTGCCTTAAATTGCAGCCAACACGAGGGGCTGGGCGTATCTCCCTTCCAGGCGCTTTATGGACGGCCCCCTCCGTCGCTATTTCCAACTTTATCGGTCCGCGCTCGAGTACCGGCGGTTGAGGAGATGTTACGCGAGTGCGCGGATTTACTCACTGATTTGAAAGCTCATTTGACAAAGATGCAACACCGTATGCGTTCTCAAGCTAATCAACACAGACGAGATGTTTCCTTTGCGGTTGGGGACATGGTGCTCCTAAAACTCCGGCCGTACCGCCAACACTCGATGGCTCGCCCCTTATCTGCCAAGCTTGCTCAACGATATTATGGTCCCTTTGAGGTGTTGGAACGAGTGGGAGCTGTGGCCTATCGTCTACGATTGCCAGACGGATGCAAGATACACGACGTTTTTCATGTGTCGCTACTCCGGCCCTTTGTCACACGCCCGGGCAGCTCGCGTACTCCCTCCTTGCCTGATTGTTTCTTCAAGGGCCGCCCAGTATCCTTGCCTGTTGTTGGACTGGACAGCCGCACAGTCCTAGTGGATGGCCAACCGCAGGAGCAATGGCTCATCCGTTGGTCGGATGGCACGGATAGTGATGCTACGTGGGAGCCTGTTGCTGAATTATTGGACAAGTATCCGGATCTTCGCCTTGTGGACAAGGTCGTGCCTAACCCCGGGGGAGTTGATACGGGCCATGCAAATGGTACGGGCCATGCGGACGTAGACCATGAAGGGGATCCTAGGGTTAGACGACCACGACGGAATGTTGGGCGCCCTCGCCGTTTCGAAGATTACGTTTAATATTTTATTATTCTTTTTATTTCATTAATGTAATAGATTTTTCTAGGTGAGCGAATTATAAGCTCCTTCGAGGGTTTCTTTTCGATTCTTTACCTCGTCGCTTTTCTTGAACCGACAGGATAGATAATTAGTAATTTAGGTTTGGGGAATTCTTCTATATAAGGGATTACACCCTTACGCATGGATTTATGAATAATACACACATCTTCCCCTATATTCTCTCTTTCTCTCTAAAATCCTAAAAACTCTCCTTCTCCCTTGCCACCTCTGTCGGTTGGAAACTTGGCCGCCACCCTCCTTGCCGCCGCTCTTGGATACCTCGAGTATCACTTTAACAGAAAAAGGCGAAGCGTCCTCCAGCTCGAGGAAGGGGAAGGGGAAGGGCTAGACATCAAACAAGTCTAAACCTCCGCTCCCCACAAAGCAAGGGAGAGGCAAGACTGGTAGAAAGTATAACATTGGAAGGTTTCTGGCTTCATTCATTGTGTTAGATGAATTATTCACATCACCTCACATCAAATGCAATGTTTCTCCTTCGTTCGAACAAAAAAAAGTGTATTACTGCTGTTTCTTTTTAGAAGGCACCTTCTCTCCTAGCTGCTTTCTCTTTTTTACACTCTTCCTGTCATATCACATCATCTCACCCTCTTTCTTCAATCAAATTTACCTTTAATTTTTTTCTTCTTTTTCTTTTTCTTTTTTGTCTCAATGGTAAAATTTTCTTGATTCTTAATTACGTATTAGTTAAATTAATTTATTTTTTTGACATATAATATTTGAGGGAGTGAATTCCAACACTGATCATTTATAATTAACTAGTGTTAACCCCGTGCTTCGCACGGGCTCGTAAATATTCTAAAATTTTAACATTCTACATTTTATTTTCATTACTCATTTGATAAAATAATATAGTCATGTCATTTATAGTTTTTTAAACTTTTGATATAGTTTTAAATATAAAAGGTTGATTTTTAAATTTTACACGTAATCAAACAAATTGAATTTAAAATAACTTCGGTCAAATCTCATAAATTGAGAAGTTAGTTTTAAGACAGAGGGTGTAAAATAAAATAAATCTAAAGTTTTAAAATATATACTCCCTCTGTCCAAAAATGTTCTTCCCATTTAACTTTTTACGGTCTCTAAGATCGCACTTTGACCACTAATATCTTTATTTATACATGAATATATTTTATAAAAGTTTGATATTTGAAAACTATATTTCAAAATGAATATATTCATTGATATATTACAATGTATTTTTTCTACATATCATAGTCAAAGTTTACAAACTTTGACCAAGAAAAGTCAAATGGGAAGAATATTTCTGGATGGAGGGAGTATCATATACTACTTCTGTCCCACAAACCTTTCTTATTTCTTTTTTTTATCCGTCCCAAAAAACCATTCTCTTTTCTACTAAAAATCACATTTACCCTTATTAATTCTTAACCTGCCTATCATACCACACTTTTTCTCTATTAATCTACCATCTTATCCTACTTTATCCATTATATCAAAGAGTATTTTTGGAAAGTCAACACCAAAATACACTTCTCTTAAATCCTTTAAAAGTCAAAATGAGAAGTTTTTCAAAGGATGGAAGGAGTAGTTAATAAAAATGCATATGTAATAGAGTCAATATAGCACTCAAAAAAGATACATATGTGATAAATTAAAGAAATTGCATTTTTGAAGTTATAGAAATATAAATTATGGATTACAAAAAATAACTTATTTAAAATTTTTAAATTAATGAAATTAGTTTTTGAACTTTGAAATATATTACAATGATAAAAATATAATACAAAAATTATTATTAAAGTTAGAAAGTGAAAGTTTATAAACTAAGGGATTTATGAAGTATAATAAATATAGTGATTAATTCATATAGAAATTAATACGCACGTATGGCATGCCACATGGCATGTGATACATATGTGGCATGAAACATGTTACAAATGTACACGTGTGGCGTGACACATGTCGTTACTGCATTTAAGCCGCTCAGCTTAATAAATATACTAGTGTCAATCCCGTGCTTCGCACGGGCTCATATACATTCTAAATTTTTGACATTCTATAAATATAATTATTTTTATTATAAATGGATATTTTTTCACTCTGAGATATACGGAGTATATTTTTTAAATAAAAAGTATACTTTAAATATTGATGTACATGCACTAAAAATTCTATAACTATTTAATTTTAAAAATATTAAATTAAATAAACCATAAAAATGCCAAAAACAATTTAATATCTTTGAAGGTGAAATATTTTTTCATTTTTTTGAAAGTGAACTATTTTTTAAATTAATAATAAAGAGTCTTATACATACTCTTCTTTAAAATTTCACAATCAATATGCATATTTAAAATATGGAGTAAATTTTACAAGGAAAAATTATCGAAAATAATTCCAACTTTACCCGGTCTTTCAAAAATAATCTCACCTTTCACTGTGATGCATAATAATCTCAACTTTACTGAAATTTGCCAATTTTGGGTCGCCGTTAAGTTTCTAAGGGAGGGTTAACGGAAATGCCCGTTTTAGGCAACAAAATGAAAGTTGGGATTATTTTTGATGAATTTTCATTTTTTTTATTTTTTTTGAAATTTTCATTTCAATTTTTTAAATTACTTTCTACCTCCATCATCATTTCTTTATCCTTTTTTTAAAGATTAGTCTTAGTTTAAAAAATAAAAATAATAGATATAAAAAATGAAAAAATGAGAAATGTAACTAAAATGATACAAAAATAATAAAATAAATAAGGTAATCAATGGAAACTAACTTGAAATGGGTAAAAGTAGAATACAAATATACGGGTGGATTTTAATATTTTACGCATTATACAAAGTATTAACATATCACTTCTTATTTTTTTAGAAAAAATTATCTACAATAATTCCAACTTTATCAGACGGCTTGTCTTTTAAAAAATAAGTAGTACATTAAGACTCCGTATAGTGTGTAAAATGTTAAAACCCACCACTCCGTATATATTTATTTTATTTCTTACAAATTTCTGTTTAATTTCTATTGATTACATTATTTATTTGATTAATTTTGTATGGTTTTAGTTATTTTTCACATTTTCGTTATTTTTTATATCTATTTTTTTCTAAGGTAAGAATAATCTTTAAAAAAGAAAAAGAAATGGAGGTTGAAACTTGAAAGTAATTCAAAAAATTTAAATAAAAATTTCAAAAAAAAATAAAAAAAACAAAAATTCATCAAAAATAATCCCAACTTTCATTTTATTGCCTAAAACAGGCATTTCCATTAACCCTCCGTTAGAAAATTTAACAGCGACCCAAAACTGGAAAATTTCAGTAAAATTGGGATTATTATGCATCACAGTAAAAGGTGAGATTATTTTTGAAAAACCGGGTAAAGTTGGGATTATTTTGGGTAATTTTTCCATTTTACAATGATGAAATATATGTTTATAGAATTGTTAGAAAATGTTAAATTTTCTACAAAATATAATCAAAGTAATGTTTTTAATGCTAAAAAATAATATTCATTTAATATAATACAATAAAATATATTAAAAAACCCTTTTAAAAAAATAAGCTTAATGGACCAATGAAATACTTCCACCTCATACATTAGTGTACATGTGGATGCAATGTGGCATGCCACATGTCAACACCACAAACAATGCACTCAACTTTACATATATACTAGTTTTCTACCCCGTGCTTTGCACGGGCTGGGGATGTGTTTACGTGTCTTTTAATTAAGATTATCATAGTTGATATATGAAAACAATATTTTAAATGGACACAATTTTTATAAATTTACACACTTTGTGGTCAAAGTATAGAGTCTTTTGACCAAAAATATCAAATTGTTATTAAATGATATACTAATGAAAATTGATTTAACTAATGAAAATTGATTTAACTAATGAAAAAATAAAATAAATTTAGGTAATGATAAATCATTGAAAAATACATATGCGGTATATGGCCTATATGCCGTGTGTTATACTCCAAGAAAAACAAATTAATTTAATTTAATTTTTTAAAATGATATACTCCATAGTAAATTAAATAATGTTACAGATTAAACATTTTGAAATAAAATATAGTACTCCGTATATGGTTAGAAATATATAGTTAGTAAAATATAGTTATTTGGTAAAATAACAATATAAAATAAATGGTGGCTTACGGCGGGGTTGGGAGTGGGGGTGCAGGGGTGGAGGTAGGGTGGGAGGTTTAGGGGGGTGGGTTAGAGAGGGGAAGAAACCGTCAATTTTACGAACGGAGCATCAGAGGCGCCCCAAAAATGTAGTGGCGCCGCTAGTGGCACCGTTTTCCAGTGTCACTACAACCAGACCGTAAATTTTATTAATTAATAGTCAAAATTTGTCAACTTTAACTATAAAAAGTCAATATTGATCAAATATTCTCGACGGGGTAGTATAAAGCTATAGAGAAAAAATATATTTTGAAAAATCAAAACCTAACCACTCCACCAGTCTGGAATATAACTCAGTGGATCATACCAGACCAAAACCCAAATAAGAAAATTTATATGACTGAAGACGAATTGCGTATCAGACCAGAATGGAAGCGATCCAAATAAGTTCGATTTAGTTTTGAATTGGTTTTGGCCTTTGGGTGTTTCTGGATCACCCCTACTAATGCCAAATTTTGTTAACACCTTGTCCAGGTGAAAGAAATTTGTACTACATACGAGTTTACTACACATATTTAGGCTCTGTACAAAATTGAATTTTGGAAAAACCTAAAAGAAATTGGAAGAAGTTGGAAAAAAACCAGAATAAGTTGGAAAATCTAGAAGAAGTTAGAAAAAACTAGAATAAGTTGGAAAAACTAGAAGAAGTTGGAAAAACGAGAAGAAGTTGGAAGAAACTGAAAATAGTTGGAATTTTTTTGAAATAGTTTTAAAAAAATGTTAAAATACATATTTTAATTTATAAATTTCATATTTTAAAAAAAATCAGGAAAAACTATCTTAAATAATCCTACCTTTTCACATTTTTTAAAAAATAATCACACATTTCCGCATGTGTGCGAATTTTGGGTTGACGTTAAAAAACTAACGACCACTTAACAGAATTTTTGGGAAATGCATGTTCTTCGCAAGTAAATGAAAGATTGGATTATTTTAGGCAAATTAACTTTTTTCTTTTTTAATTTTAAATTTTAATTTTAAAATTTTAAAAATATAATACTGCGCTCTTGTTAGATATTTGTCTCAATTTATTTTAAAAAAAGATAACGATTTACAAATTTTGTATTCTGTTTAGGAGAAAATATAATATTGGATCATCTAAAAATAATTTAGAGTATTGTTCGAGTAAGAAATTGCAATACCAAAAAGTTGTAGTGAGTTATAAAAATAATTAGTGCCGTTTTGGAGAAAACAATATTCTGCCATTTTCACAACTTTTGAATTGTTATTTTGGAGAAAAAATTTATACAGAATTATTGAAAAAAATCACAAATTTTGTATAGCCATTTCAGAAAAAATAGTACGGGTAATAGAAGATTATTGATAACTATTTCAGAGTGTTGTTCATGAAAAAAATTGCAATACAACAAAAGATGTAGTGAATTAAAAAATATAAAATTTCTATTTTTGAGAAAAATTGTTGTGTATTTGTCGAACCTCGTGCTTTACCAACTCTTCTAAAACTAATTGGTGTTAGAAGAATCTCATTCCCTAGCTTTATAGTGCATTCAACACGCACAAGCGCCTATAATATTCCATTGTAACTTGGCCCACATAGCCTCCACCACGGGACAATTGATCCACACATGACCAACAATCTTCCCCTCAGCATTTGCTCCTGCTGGAATCGAACTCACGACTTTTGCTCTGATACCAAGTATAGGACCTTGGGTGCTATCAACTCTTCAAAAACAAATTTATGTTAGAAGAGCTGCATACCCTAGTCTTGTAGTGCATTCAACACACACAAGCACCCACGATATTCGATTGGGACTTGACCCACATAGCCTCCGTCACAGGATAATTGATGCACACATGACCAATATTATTTTCACAACTGTTGTAATGTTATTATACAAAAAACATTTATACAAAATTATCAAAAAAACTCACAAGTTTTGTAGTGCCATTTTTTAAAACTAATATAGTATACTACGTAGTATCAAAAAACCATTCGAAGTGCCGCTCAAAAAAATAATTGTAATTTACAAAAAAATGTAGTGAATTATGAAGTAAATGAATTAGTTCCATCGTGTAGAATAATTTATTGTGCAATTCCACAACTTTTGAAATATTATTATGGAAAAACATTTATTATTAGATTATCGATTATTGAAAAAAACAAATAGTTTACTCTAAAAAACACTAAATTTGGTATTATTTATAAAACAAAATTTCAAAAAGTAGATTTAAATCTAAATTTAGAAACTAAAAAAACCAAAAAAAATTACCTAAAAAAATTCCACCTTTCATTTATTTACGAAAAATAAATATTTTCTAAATGTTTCGTTAAGTAAGAGTTAGCATCAATTTTCCTAAAAGTTTATACTAAACCTTTTAAATTTCTAATCTCTTTTGTTTTCTTTTATGCCATAAATTATATTCCAAATCTTATTTGTAATATTTTTGTGACTCACACTCTTTCTTTATTATTTAAAATCAATATCAATAATAAAATTTTTGTTTTTTAGTTGTATGTCGCTAATTCATTAGCAAACATAAGAAGACAAATGAAGTCATACCATTTACGAGTATAAGTCTTACTTGAAAGAAAACTGGACTTAAATACTCCCTCCGTCTCACTCTCTTTGTCCACTTACCTTTTGGCACACCATCCAATGCATTTCTTTAATCTGCCATTTTATCTTGTAATTTGTATATTAAAAAATTATAGAAATTATATATTAATAATCTATATGTTAAGACAAATCAAATTAGATCACACATGACTATATTTAGGCTTACACATTGAGAGAATTTGATGAGTCAAAGTACTTAAATTAACAGTTCCAAAAGTCAAAAGTGGACAAAGAGAGTGAGACGGAGGTAGTAATATGGAGTATAATGATCTTTCAATCAAACACAAAATCTTACATCACAATAAAAGATGCCAATTCATTCCCGTGGAAACTTTTAGTATTTCATTTTTCGTATATGTCTCAATATTATTAAAACAATTTTTTACTTTTTTAATCTTTTCTTATTTTAAGTAAAATAAAAAAATTTTATGCAACTAATGTAGTTTTCAATTTACATTTGACATATGCATGTTTAAAAAATAAATAATATAGATTTTACACAATTATTTTTTGTGATTAAATTGATAGTATATGCACATTTGAAAGTTATGTAATGCTTAATAACAAAAAAATAGAGTGCACAATTATTTTGGTTAAAATTTTAAAACGTTGACTATAACTCATTTCAAAGAAACATAGTTAACAAAAATTTCAAAATTGTAAAGAAAATTATAAATTAATTAATTTAAGATTTGAATAATTCACATAACTCTATTGTGGTAACTAAAATTTATATGCAGGACGTAATTTTTTAATAAATTGTGACATTAAATAAATTTTTAATTTTATTAAATAATAATAATAATAATAATATGAAAATAATCCTAAATAAAATTTTTTAAGTCAATGTTAGAAAAAATTAGAAGAAGTTGAAAAAAACTAGAAGAAATTGGAAGAAAATGAAAAGAGTTGAAAAACTTTAAGGTGTTGCTGAAATGAATGAATTGGAAGAAACAATAAACTATAAAGAGTTAGAATAAAAAAGGAGTTGAAAAATGTTAAAACTTAAGACTTAATGCTCAAAAGAACAAAACAGTGAGGTATAGAGGTAAATAGTGTCTTATCTACCGGGAGATGTAGTTGTCAATTTGAAAACAAGTAAAACATGCTAGAAAAGATGGAGTATAATGTTCTAACAGAAAATTGTAGGAACATTACGCCGCAACACTTATAAATAAACCTGTCTACAAAACTGGAAAGCACAAGCTTATTACAATTCAAAACTTCCCGAGGTTAATGACCATAGAAGCCACTCAATCAAAACTTCCCTCAAATTAAATTGATTTTGCCTTAAAATGATATTCAAAATTTATTCAGACCAACAAATTCAGTATCAAGTTTCTACGGCATCTTTGGAGTTGGTGGCGGTGATTTCGGTTTTGGAGCGGGACTTGGTACTGGTCTTGGGGCTGGCTTCGGTGCAGGTTTTGGTGTTGGCTTTGGTTGTAATGAACTAAGCTTTCGACCAAACTTTGGAGCAGGCTTTGGTGCTGGCTTTGGCGTTGGCTTTGGTGAAGGTTTTGGTGCCAACTTTGGTGATGGTTTCGGTGCGGGCTTTGGTGGGAGGAGCGGTTCATGCCTTTGTCCCATCTTTGGTGCCTTCGGTGAGGGCGTGGGTGGATGTGGCTTAGGTGAAGGTGCGGGTGGATGCGGCTTAGGTGCAGGCTTTTGTGGAAGTGATGCGAGCCTTCGTCCCATCTTTG